GGGGGGGCCGCCCATAGGTGCGGGCGGGCTTCATGGCTTTCGGCCTTCTCACTCAGTTTAAGAAGTGAGAGTAAATTACCCATTACTTGCAAGCGTTCATGGAGGTGTCTGTGCCAGTGCTCTGAACGCTGATGGTGGTTGTGCGGGGCTGTAGTAGCACCGCTACCACAGCTTCTGTTACTGTCGAACAGTATGTAAGGGCAGACCTTTAAAAATAACGTGGTGGGTTGGGAAGATGGGGATGCAGGGGCAGGACTGATTCCAGTTTACTGAAGGGGAGCTACGTGCCTGTATGATAGAAGACATTTATAGCATAAATAGATGCTGTTTCTTTAGGATTTCTCAATGTCTGAAGAGCTATTTGACCTTAGTATGGATGTGAATGTAATGGACAATGCCTATTATTTACTAATGCATGAATAGACATGCTTATTCTGCAGTACTTTTGCCTGGTCCTTGTTTAGGTTGATCTGCTTCCAAACAGAGCTAAAATATGTTAATAATAGCCCTGGCTAGCTTATTTTCAGAATATCAGTCTGTGGAAGCATCCAATTGCACCAATATAAATCAATAGATTCCCATTAAGGTTTTTGGTGCTGTGATCAACAGCAGCATTCGGTCCTGTGGCACTGCTCAGCCCACTGCCACAGCAGTATCCGCTTACCCCCAGTCTGTCAATGTAAGGCCTGGTCCTTTTCCTGTCAGGATTGTGGGTTGTGGCTAGAACCTTGTTATGATACCAGCAGGTGTGTTTAATACCTCTAAACACATTTCATTAAGTTGTCTTTAATTTCCACCTCTCTCATTTTTCCTTGCAGGCCGTGATAAAATCCTACAATGCCACTTTGAGTAGATGAAGTGAAGGGGGTGAAAGGGGGATAAAGAAAATGCCCAAGCAAACAGCAGTGACGATGACTTTGGCGACCCTGCTGGGTGTTGCTGTGGGGGGACTGGTTTTGTGGAAAGCAACCCAACGTCGGAAAGGAAAAGCATGCTGTAGTAGTCAGCGAGAGGAAGCATTTATAAACTCAGGAGACAAGAAACTGATTAAGGCAGAGGGTAAGGAGGTGCTTTCCTTCTTCAGATCTTCCACGCTTTCCTGGGTAGAGAGGATCCTTGGTGCAGACATAGTGGTAGTTTCAGGGCAGGAGGAGTGGGATCATGCTGAACCTTTGCTGAAGAAGGAGCTGGAGAAGTGGCCAGTGCTTGGAATTGATTGTGAATGGGTGAGTGATCAAGAATCGTCTCTCCTTTGGATTGCAAATTGCAATGGGAAATCATCGAGGGTGGAGTGATTCCTTTTCTTAAATGGATACAACAGGAATGACTATTGAAGCTGCCTGTGGGATGATCTGTCAATGACAGCAGTGAAGTAGCTGCTGATTTTGATTGTTCTCACGTTCAAGTGTGCTGACTGCAAGTCTTTAATTCACTAGTTATATTCTTTTACTGAACTCCTCTGATAAATTCACTATACTAAACATAGTGGAAATTGTATGGCATTATGTGTTTTGTATAATATCTCTTTAGAGGTGATTTACTAGAATCACCTCTAAACTTGGGTTTACACTATTTCAAATTCAGCTATATACTTAAGAAACAATTTCTTCAGAATAATAAATCCAAAAAGGGAGGATAATGCTGATAGGTAGACATAACTCACTGGGACTACCAGAAGGCAAAGTTCCTCTTCCTTGCACATTTGCCTGTGTGAACTCTCAAAGCAGGCTTTTAGTTATTTATAAAGCCTGTCTTTGCCATTATTTTGGCTGGAAATTTATTCACCCCAGAATCATTAAGTTTCAGCCACAGTTAAACAATGTGTTTACCATTAAACATTTATGTAGTGGGTGCCTTTGTGCTGATGAGGTTTAAGAAATGTGTCTGATGTCTTCTATGAGCTCAGCTATGAGGGGTAAGGGTGAAAGGGGGAAAGTTTCTTTTGTGGGAGTGTGGCAAGAAGTAGCTTGGGGACAGTAACACTGTGAAACAGATCACATAATTTACAGTAAAATGTTAGGGATATGTAACAACACACGATTGTATAAACTGACAGGTATTGCCCATCTTCAGTGGCCTGTTTTGCAATTTGTTCCGGCTCCAGCATTGCTAATAATACTGTAGCCCAGACTCTGTTTTTTGTCTTTATTTCAGGTATCTGTGGAGGGAAAAGCAAATCCTGTATCCCTCCTGCAGATGGCTTCTTCCAGTGGCCTCTGTGTTCTTGTTCGATTGCCCAGGCTTGTTGCCAGTGGACAGACTATCCCAAAGACCCTGTTGGACATCATGACAGATAGTGCTGTGTTGAAAGTTGGGGTAGGATGCTGGGAAGATGCTTGCAAGTTACTTCATGATTATGGTCTTCCAGTCAAAGGGAGCGTGGATCTCCGGTATCTAGCCATGAGACAGTGGTGAGTGTCTGAAAACAGAAGCAGCTCTGCTTAAGGCGTCATGTGAGTTGGAAATGTTTTAAAAGTAATTTGCATATGATGAATGATAGCAGGCAGGTAGGGCTGGAGTTCTCAGAGTGGTTTTAGAGGGTGAACACTGACAGCTGCAGCCCAAGAACATGTTGTGGTTCTGTTCTATGGTCTTAATGGAAATGAAATTTTCACGAAGATTTCATCTATTCATTGTGTCTGTTAGTCTTCTCATGGAATACCGTTATGGACTTTTCTGAGTATCATGCTTCAGCTTTTAATAAGACCAGACACAGTGATGTAACACAGTGAGAGTCATCACCATGTCAACGGATGTTTGAATACATGGCCTGGAAGTATGGGGTAAATGTGTCAGGGGCACATAAGTGGAACTGTTCAATTGCAGGATTTAATGAAAAATGACTAAATAAACTAGCTCCAATTTTCTCTTAGCAACAATGTTTCCACTGAAAGATTACAATTAGGGTGCTATTTTCTCATCCTTCATTCTTCCTTAAATAAGATATTTTAGTTGGGAATATTCTTCACATACAGTATATGTATGCCTGAGTGTGCTGTTAGTGATCTGGGGCATGGTTTGCTGATCGGATAGCACCTTTTTAGCACTGAGGATGGACTTGTCTCTAGTGGCCAGAATTCCTCTGAATTATTCCCTGCTGTTAACGTTCCTCATGAATCCCTGGGTCAGGTGGTCCATCACTCTACATCAGAATTCTTTAGTTCAGAAGTGGGTAGTTCAAAGCCAAATACTTCAGCCTTTAACATTACCAACTAACTCCCAGCCTTGCCCATTTTGCATGTAGCAGGCAGTAGATAATTACTAAAGGAAAGGACAGAGGGGAGAGAGAGGGCCTGTGGCGCTGACAGGCAGCTGTGTGCTGTTTCAGGAGGAGGCGGCAATAGGGGGGCCAGCTGTGTGCTGTTTCATCAGGAGTCGCACATCGTGTGCATTGTGTTCTGGCAGGTTCAGGGTGTATGAGGCCATGTGCATTTGCATGGGTGTATAGTTTTGGTTTTAACATGTTTGTTTCACTTTGTTTGTTAAACTGAAGGAAGGAGCTACCTCACAACTGCCTTAGCCTGAAGTCTTTAGCTGAAGAAGTCCTGAACTGCCCACTTGACAAGTCTCCTCATGTGCGTTGCAGCAACTGGGAGGCAGAAGAATTGACACAAGATCAGGTGTGTCTTCAACTGAGTGTTTTGGGAGGAAAAGCAACCTTCTTGGGAGAGAAAAAGCATTACAACAGGGAGATCCAAGCCTTCTTCAAGTTCTGCCTCAAAACCTTATGTGTGACTATGGTCTGAAGTTAAATTCCAGACTGTGCCTTGCATTTCCCTCCTTTTCCATGGAGATAATTTTCTGCTGTTCTGGGATTCTTCACCCTTGTTTTCCTTTAGCCCTGAAAGATCTATAAGGGAAGATCCCTTGAAGAAGTGTTCAAGCACCCAAACCCTCACCTTTTTATTATTTGATTTCCTCCAGTCTATAGCAGTCAGTGCAATATTAGAGACTGAAAATTTTGTTCACCATAGTTAGACCATTATGCTTTCCCCGAATGCCGATTTTCTTTACGGTCATGCTGCAGATGTCTACAAAATCAGTGACCAGTAGAGGGAGTGACAGGATAAATAACCACACCAATGATTCGTAGACAGTATGTCAAAAGGGAGCTTTTTATTCGTTAGGTAAGGCTTGAAGGAGTGGGAAAGTGTATAAGGCGTGGCTGACCTTAGCTTTTATTAGTCCTTTGCAGTTTCTTGGGCCACCTGTGAGTGTTTCAATTCTGACTGACCCTAAAAATGTGGGTTGTGGTGATGTTATGATAGTGTCACTCAACTGCCAGAACTTGTGTGGAAATAAATCCAGTTTCTGGCTTCACTGTACTGTGTTAAAGACTGATGATGTTTTGGAGCATTTGCTCTTTGTCAGTATCTTGATGTATACACTTTTTTGCAGGTTCTCTATGCTGCTAGAGATGCCCAGATCTCGGTGGCTCTGTTCCTCCATTTGCTGGGATTTGCTAGCCTCCCTGCTATATCTCAAGGTGAAAACTCTCTTGCTGCTTGGGAAAAAGCAGTGGGTAAATGCCGGGGCTTGGTGGATGTTCCTTTTAGAGGAAGAAAGAGTGGCAGCAGCACAGGAGAGGAGAAGAATGGAGAGGGACGTTCCCCTCAGAAAACAAAGAATCGGAAGTCTGTGGTGGATGGCCAACCTGTTGGTGGTCAGCAAGTAAGAGATCCACGGAGGCAGAAGAGAAAGCCTCTGGGTGTGGGATATTCTGCACGGTAAGTCTGTGACCTCATTTTACTCTTTGCACTGCAGATGGAAAACCTTGAATGATGTGTCATGCTCTGTTAATTAAACAAAAGTGGTTAATAGGAGCTAGGAAAGCAAACACAGGACCTAACAGTCATGGGACCCAGATCCTGTTTCTGTTTTCCTCATTTCCCTTTAGAGGTGGTATTGAAAGCGGAGACAGGACTTGGATCTGTACTATGTCATGAGCAGGTTGAGGGGATGTCTTCAGCTTTTGCCCTTCCTTCTCCTATGGAGGCATTTCCTGGAGAGCAGAGTCTCAGCAGGAGGTGGTTGGCAGTCTGGGTGGCAATTACTGCCCAAACAGCTGTGCCTTGTCTCCTTCAGGGAGAAAGCGAAGGTTAGGAGGGGTGAGACACATTACTTGAGGTGCTAGAGGGCACAGGAAGGAACAGTCTGGCTACATCAAGCCATTGCACTGCTGTGTTGGCCAAGGAGAGTTAGGAGGGAAAGCTATTACTTTGGCCTTGCAGAGGCAGCTGTTATGGGATTCAGGATCCCTGTCCTGCAGGCAATTTTGTGGAACAAATCCTAAATTCTTATGGCCTTTTGGTAATGAGTTCAGTTGCTATTAAAACAAGTTGGAGAAGTCTCTTTAAGCTCAATGCAGTAGAAGATGCAGAGAGCTAGTATGTTTGGTTTTGTTTGGATACAGTCTAATAAAATTTATCAGTGGATGTAGGAACTAAAATTGTAATTACCATTTGGAAAGAAAAATGGTCATTTTAGTGTTTGTTTTCTCCTTTTCCAGTTTATTGGATTGGCAATGGAGACATTTTAATGTAGTCAATAATATTGATTTCATTAACAGTCATTAATGGTATTGTGTTAAATACAGCAAGTTCCTCCAGATTTATTTTTTTTCAAGTTGGAGCCTGTGTCATGCAGAACAGAAGGACTGCACCTCATGGGAGGATTAAAATTTAAACAAAATTGCATTCCAGGCTACACTGAGATCTCCCCATGTTTGCTTGTTTATTGTTTTTAACCGTGCTTGGCTTCATGAGAGATCTGTAGACTCACTGGTTTTTATAGCATTTGTGGCAGTGTGGCTCTGGTCTGTGGTACAACTGGATGTGATTTCAAAAGTGCTTTTCCACTCTTCCTGTCTATAAGCCTGTTCAGTTTTAATGTTTTTTCATTTTGAGTTGGGAAATACTCAAATTATCATGGTGATTGAGCTGAAGTGCTGACTGATGGAGACCTCCTGTACTGTTGTTTTGTCGTTTTTTTTATCCTAATGGACCTCAGAAGAAATCCTTTTGTCTGCTTACATAGCCTGTGAATCAACCTTTTTAGCTGGTGGTGTACTGCTGAGTACTTAATTATAAGACGTTGCTGGACGGAACAAAGGAAACTTTTTCACAGTGTACTGTGACATGTCTGTATCCCTGGACAGTTCCTCCCAGTGGTCCTGGAGCCCAGCCAGCTCTGCTCTGCCCTTTTTGTTTGAAGGAAGTTGGTAGAGTAGGGAAACATTTTCTGCAAAATGTAACCCTTCAACACACTGCCAGAAACCACCAGAGGCTGCCCAAGAGGGGCTTTTCACCACTAAGGATAGGGATATGTGCTTCAGAGGGCCTTAGCTCAGCTTAGTTATTACCAAGGTCATGTGTGTTTGAGTTCCCAGTGCTGCAAGAGCCTTTTTGGAGCATTTCTCTTGGATGAATGAAGTAATTGCTGTTCACACTAAGTTTTGGAAAAGTCATCTTAATAAAATATTAAAATAGGGGCTTAGGCAGCTGATCCTTGGAACTGCCTTACCCCTATAGATTGACACTATTTGAACTTACTCTTAGGTCATTGTCCTTGACTTCAACTCTGTTTTGTTTTCTAATGTGATTTTTTTTTTTTTAAATGCTGTCATTATTAATGGCAGCTCTTAAAAACTGGGATTCAGAGTTGCAATTCTAGTGGTAGCAGGAGAGCAAAGGTGCCGTACAGTTGGTGAACCCCAGGTAAGTTTTTTAGATGTTCTGCTTCCCTTAGCAGCAGCCTGTTATCACAGATGGAGTCATGCTTTGCACTAAGAGAGAAGCAGCAATATATTGATATAAACCAGTGAGTTAACAAAGTTCAGTAGTAAATGGAACAGTGGTTTAACTAGATTTGATGTCAAGGTACGCTTGATTATTTATGGCAGAGGACAGGGTCAGACAAAACTACAACAAGGCCCTTTTATTGAGTGATGAGTTTCAGAAGGGACCCCTTTGCTTTGTAAACTCTTTCTCAGAGAGGAGTGTAGATGTGGCTGGATCCAGTCCTAGTCCCAGACTTGGTCAACAGTTTGCGTCTAAAGAATTATGTATGTGCAATCAATCCTTTATGTCACTTAGCTAAGATTTCAAAGCTAAGCATGCTGTTAATAACTCATTGAGCATCTGTTGGTGCAAGGAATCTCTCAAGCTGAGGGAGTAACCTTGAGAGGCATCCCTACTCAAGGGGAGATCCTGGCGTGCAACCTGCTGCCATGCAGGAGAGCTCAACAGGCCCTGGGCTGTCCACTGTAAAGTAAGATGATTGACTTATATTTGCATACCAGCAAGAGGTCTGGGTCACTGATCCAGACAGCTCTTGGCTACCATGTTGCCATCCATCTCCCAATGTCCAGGGTAAGCTAGGTGCAGCCATTGCACCCCCCACTGATGGTTATGGGTTGGTGGGGAGCACACTGCCATAGCTGTGTGGTGCTCAGCAGCCTTGAGTGTGTGTTTGGGGGCACTCCTGTGATTGGAGGAGCCTGCAGGAATTGCAGTGTGGAACACACGGCTATGGAGAGCTCTGTTTTTTTGGCATGCTATTATAGTTGCTGTAATGCTGCCTTTGTTTCACAGAAAATCTCCACTGTATGACAACTGTTTCCTGCATGCACCAGATGGACAGCCCCTGTGCACTTGTGATCGTAAGAAGGCTCAGTGGTATCTGAACAAGGGGATTGGAGGTAGGCATACCAGTTTTCCTGTTGGTATTTGAAATACAGCTGCTTCTTGTTGTTGTTGTTTCTTAGCTAACTGGGAATAATTTTTTTGTATCCTTTCTTATTGGAAATACTGTTGGGGATTCACTAGGATGACTCTTACGTTTTAGCATCATTATTTTTGCTCTCAAATATGAATTTGTCTGAATATTCTATCTTTGCCTTTACCCTTTCAGAGCTAGTTAGCACAGATCCATTTGTTGTGAAGCTGCGGTTTGAGCCTTCAGGACGTCCTGAGTCTCAAGTTGATTATTATCTGACAGTCAAAGAGAATCTGTGTGTTGTATGTGGCAAGCGAGAATCCTATATCCGGTGAGTTGTTTAGTGGGAAAGGAGAAAAATGCATCTTTTAAAACAGGACTGAGGTCTGCACCTCATTTGGCATCCAGAAGCTTGGTTAGCGCCTGAAACATCATGCTTGTAGGCATCCTGTATGGGCTATCACTACTTGAATGCTCTGTAGTTGTATGCGTCTGCATAAGTTTGATGGTGAACAAGCCAGCCTTTCCTCCTCTTACAGAGACAGAAAGTATCAGTCCTTCTCTAGTATCAGGACAGAACAAAGTATATGGAAAATGTATATGCTGCAGTCTGAATGACAGGGAGCAGCAGTATGCCAACACCTGTTGTTCTGATGGTATCCCCTTCTGAAAATAGCTGTATATTCCTTCCACTACTTAATCCTTACCTTTTTGAAAGGTTTAGGTGAGCCTGAAGCCCATGAGGTCACACAGGGTGACATTTTGTCTTTGCAGCTGCTACTGTTTAGCTGAGAGGTATGCTTCTCATAGAGCATTGCTTTATTTTTAGGGTTTTTTTTACAGTATGAATCACATTTCTTAAAATGAAAATGGTGAATTTTTAGAAGGGGGGAAAAAAAAAAGATATGCAGAAAACCTGTAGAGAGTTTTGCAGAAGATCAAAAGAAGTTGCAGAACTGCACTGAGGGTCCTGACCCCAGTGATCTTAGTTTTTCTGGACTTTTAATATTAGTTGACCCTTTGTGGGCCAGTAAGAGGAGAAACTGGGGAGTAACTGGTCCAAGCAACTTTGATGAACTGGCTGGCTTGTCTTCCCTAGGAAAAACATTGTTCCTCACGAATACCGAAGACACTTCCCTATCCAGATGAAGGACCACAACTCCCATGACGTGCTCCTACTCTGCACATCCTGCCATGCCATCTCCAATTACTATGATAACCATCTCAAGCAGCAGCTGGCTGAGGAGTTTGGTGCACCCATTGGCTCTGAGGAAGGTGTGCGTCTGCTGGAGGACCCTCTGCGCAGGCAAGTGCGCTCGGGGGCACGAGCCCTGCTCAATGCAGATGGACTGCCTGACCCCCGAAGGGCAGAACTTTTGCAGAGCATCAAGGACTTCTTTAACACAGAGAGAGTCACCCCAGAGATGCTCCAGGAAGCAGCTGGTCTGGAAACCAGGTACAAGAAGCTCATCAGTAGAAGTAACACATTAGTCATTTATGTTGGCACGTAAGTTCAACAAAAGGTTGTCTACATACAGAGCCTTAGGTAAATATTACTGCAGCAAAACAAAAGAAAATCCAGCAGGATGTGCAGAGCTGAGGATCACACGTGCTGACTTTCTTCCCCTCCCCCAAGCTTTTTAGTGAAAATAGGACAAAATCCGTTGCTGGTCTCTTTGCGATATTGATGCATCTTCCCTAAAATAATGGTGTCAGGTTAAGGAGTGTCTGAATTAGACTAGTAGGAGTTGATCTGCACAGGAAAAATTAGCCTTTAAAAGCATAACTTTATCACTTTTATGAGCCTGTAGAGTCTGGGTTTATAGTACTTTGATGCATTTAACCAGAAAGTAGGGATAAGAAGAAGGAACTTGTGCTGTACCCTAAGGCTCTAAGGAGACAAGCATACTCTGCATTTCTTACTATGTATTTGTTTTCCCCCTTCTTCCCTCAACCCAGCATTGGTCTGTGAACTGCAGCTCTTGTTTCTTCACCTCTTTCAGCAATCTCCTTCCGTTCTTGCTTTCCATTGTCCCCTCCACTGTTTTCTACTTCTTCTGAAGGACAGATATCAGGGAGGGAAACTGAAAGACAATCATATCAGAAGTCTCCTCCTCTTTCCAAAGCCTCTCCAAATATGTTGTTTTAACTAATATCTGGTCTCTGCATGAAGTCAGTATTTTCTCTTCGTTATGCTTACTGTTGTTAGTTATGTGCCAATGTTACAACTCGGAACCCACCCAGGCAGGCAATTCAGTGGCAGGATCAGAGTTCTGGAGTGTCATATGGTTCTTGCCCAGAGAAATTTGCAGTCTGTCTCCTGGGAGCTTGTCGTGGACCTAAAGAGCTTTGTCTAGTGTTGCTATAAAAGAGGAACACTTTCTCAGTTCAAAGAAACCAGCTTCCCAGTGTAACTGTGTTCCAGAAAGTAGTCAGGCATTGAAGCAAAGCTTAAAACTCTTTCTCTTGGTTTGCTTACCACGTGTCTGTAATTAAACTCCATAGCTGAAAGTATCTTCAGTGTCTTGCTGTTCACTGGAGACAGGTCTAGAGTCTGACAGTGGGCTTTGTGTGAAAATAAACTCTGCTTGTGTTCTGGCAGGATCTGCAATGAGAGCTACGTGCCACATGGCCTGAAGGTGGTGCAGTGTTTTGCTAAAGGAGGCCTGCGCTCCCTTATGCAGTTGGAGAGACGCTGGAGGCAGCATTTTTTGGACAACATGCAGCCCAAGCACCTCCCAGAGCAGTGGTCAGTGGACCATAACCATATGAAGCTAATCCGAAAGTATGGGGAGGATCTTCAGATCGAGTTGTCATAAAGCTAACTTCCTGGACTCTAGATAGTGTCTAATGGACATATGTAACTGAAGATGGAAGAACTGTTTTTATTTCTATGTCTCCACTAACATCTGGGCCTGGGTTTGCAAACAGGCAGCAGTAGATCTGCCAGATTTGGCATCTTATAGAGTTAAATCCATTGACTTGAATTTTCAGCTGGCTGAGATTTTTTTAATCCTAGTCTGTCACTGATCACTCAGTGCAAGAGTGATATCCTTAAGGGAACTTGTCTTCTCAAAGTTACTATGGAGAGTTATTTTCGAGTCCCCAGGATGTCTGATGCCTCCAGACCATCTCTCTTAACGCAGAACACAATATATGAACACTTTCCAGGTTTTCTGACAGGTATATCTGCACCCGTGAGGCCTTGAGAGTCTCCTGATTTAAAAGTCTTTCTTTACTTTCAGCACAGTTGTACTCATATGAGGAGTTGTTGGAGGAGACTTTCTGCTATAGAGATGTTCCTGTTTGGAAGTGGCAAAGAAACTTTATCTTTTTTTTGCAGATTCTGAGCTGTAGCAGAACTGCAGATAAAGGCCACAGTGAGTTTCCTGGTGGCAGGTGCCTGATGAGAAGCAACATTCTGACTCTGTCAGTGTGGAAGCACCCATGTCAAGTGTTTTCTTAAATAGCTTCCAGCAACACACAGTGTATAAAGAAAATTTTCTTTCCTAATTTCACTTGTCTGTCACAAATGGGTCTTGGCAGGTACCTTTTCATATCAGACTGAAATGAGGTCAAGGGTCTTAGAAGGGGTGAGAGGAAACAAATTTCATTTAAATACCAGCATCTTTTCAAGAGGTCAGACCATATATAGCAGAAAACTGGAGAATCTGGTGTTCTGTTCCTGGATTTGATGTGTGTGGTGGTGAGCAGGTCATCTTCTCTCCATGCCTGTTTCCCTGTCTCTAAAATGGGACTAATAATACTTACCTATCTCACAAGATTGTTGTGAGGCTTAAGGAGTTAATGTTTTTATAAAATGCTTTGAAAATATAAGTTAGTGTGTGCTAATTATTATTGTTGTTTTTTAAATGTGCTGTTGTCTGACTTTCTTAAATATTAATGTTTTTAAATGGTACTAGACCTTAATTATATATAACTTTTAAAAAATACATACACTTCTCTGTGAAATCACTTGTGATGATTTTGATTGCATGAGATGAGTGTGCTTCCTTGATTGATGAAGCTGCGCTTAACTTTTTTAGGTCTCTCTATAGAAGTTTCAGTAAAACTTGTATCGTACTTGATGCTACTGCATATAGCACAGTTGACCCATATTTTATTATAATTTTGGGCAGAATCCTGGACCTGCAGTGACTGTAGCTGAAACTCTCCCTTATCAGATAATTCAAGAAATTTTCACAGGCCAGAGGTGAAAAACCTGTTTGTAACAGACCTTTTGAGGAAAATAGGAGCCATAAAGGAAATGGTACATTAATGCCATCCCAGAGGAGCTGCAGTAGCAGCCTGAGCACAAGGAATAAAAGATTCATGATAAATACTACTTATCACAGAGCTGCAAATGAGATCATTTTCATTATAAAGGCAATTTTATTCCTTTCCTGTACCACTGGCAGGTCTTAACAAAAACTGATCTAACCAAATGTGTTCTGTCTCTGTACTCATTCACACAGCTGATCATAAGCTCAGCAAGAACCTCCAGTCTACAACAGCTGCTTGAGTATAACTTTTTCTCTCCAAAGCATTTTGAGCATGCATTCAGATAATACTGCGTCCTGTTTTTAGTGCCATTTCAGTTGTAAGAGCTTGTTGCATGGCTCAGAAAAACTCCTTTTCAACAATCATCGGGAGTACAAGGTATCCACCTCACTTTTTCATTCTGCTTGGTTTTTCTGTCTTTGTTCTGATGCTGGAACTCCTGATAAAGCTGTAATTTTTTAATGGAACTGATGGGCTGACCACAGGGCTGCTGTTTTTTCTGTTCGTTGAGACAAGAATTGGACTAGAGGTCCTCTAAATTTAAGGAGTCAGTAGTATCATTCAGGAGTTTTGTGGTTTATTTTTTTCCAAATCACTTGTTTGAAAATAGAAATTTGCAAGGAAAACTTACTTTATAAATATTTTCTTAACTAAGGTTCTTTGTTTTTTGTAAGGTATCCTTGAACTTGCATCATTTTAAGTCAACCTGAAAGAGGAGGGGAAGTGATACATTTATTGTACAGAAATATATTATTTTTATATGATTGTGATTTAAAATTTTCTGCCAGTCTATAGATAAAACTTTCTTCTATGTCTTCATCACTAATTGTTGCATTCAGTAAAAATTTGCTCTTTTACCAGACTTAGCACTATTGAAGCTCTTTTTTTCTTTTTCACATACCTGTCTTTTCTCTTCTTTTCCTGTGTCTCACCCTGTACTTATGAGTCCATCGTTTCTTACAGTAATACCTGGACCTCACCCTCTGATTTTCCCTTTCTAGTGCCTTCCCTGATCTGTCTGTCAGAGATCAGCCATGGAAGAGCACATGCTGGCAGCAATACTGTACTTCTAAGCAATGCAATAGCAAGTTTGCTCAGGTATACTTTGTTTTTCTGAGGCTCTCGGTGGATTCAGGTGCTGTCCTGGCCTGGTTGTGTTGGTCAGTCATGGTGGCTACAGATCTATGTTTTTTGAAATAAAAAACTTAGATTTTGCTCAACCTGAGCATTCATCTAGGTTGCCCCAAGTATCTTACCTCCTGCACTAGACCATACACATCTGTCTGCAGAGGAAGAGAAGTGCCATGGCTCTTTGTGTGGGCTGGCTTTCACAACATGGAATTTTTCTTTCTGGTGCTTATCTATGATTTTAAGTTTGGCCAGAGCAGGAATTCCCTGCAGAACTTGCCTCCATCCTTTCTTTTTCAGATGTTTTGCCCATGTGAAATGTATATGGTTTTCTAAGAGTATGGCTGGGTATGTATTTCCAGAGACACTGCTCTGTAGTGGGACTACCAAGAAGAGATCGTGCGTCAGGTTAGCTTGCCTTCCCCCATGGGCTACAAACTGATTTCTGTCTTCCCAACACTGCAGTTTGCTTTTTTTTTTTTTTTTGGCTTTGCAGTAACTTAGACATTATTGGATGTTGCAGGAATTACCAGCTGAGCAGCATTTTTGATAGTCTCATAGTTGGAGGTGCAGTAAGTGCTGCATTTCTGAGCAGACCATATATGATATGTTAATTATGCTGCTGACAGACTTGGCATTTGGAGTGCCTTGGTTTCCTCCTTTGACAGTCTTTAAAGGTCCCAGCTGTCACATCCATGACTGACAGGACTGAAGACAGCATACCCCCGTGGGCTTCTTGCGTTTTTCTCTGTTTGGTATGCACTAATGGCAGCTATCTTCCTGTTGCATTTCAACTGCTTTGGCTTCCTAGGGAGTATCTGAACTCCACACTATCTATAACATGGTTTTGGTGTCTTTTTTCAGTGAAGGTGATGTGGTTAGTCTTGAACAGTACCTCATTGCCTCAGCCCTGTGCCTAAATGCCTTTGAGGAACTGGGCCTTTTGCATGTACAGAGGGAGCCTCTGAAATAAGGAATCAACAGGAGCCATTGCCAGTGTGCAATGTTTTGTACTGATTTAGAGGCACCTGCAGTCTGAACCAGTAGGTCAGTTCCCATCGTTGCTTCTTGATCTCCTTCTTCCTTCAGGACTCCACAGTATATATACTTCATTCTCACAGTCTGACACAAATTGTTATCTCCTTGGTGTTCTTTGGGAATAAGGGCCATTTTAAAGCCCTTTCTCTTATTTCTACATAGTGCTGTGTTATTGGCATAAGGGCTTTC